TTTATCATCTAACTCATTAGTTTTAAACTTCATGGATTTTGATGATAAATTCTAATGAAAGACTAAAATACCCTTAAAACTGGATGGAAAATTAGATGGTGTTAAAGTCAGATGTGCAAATCATGGATTTTGATTAATTAAGATGATATTTCTCTTAAATTTTTCTTTAAGGTGACAAATTGAAACTGAGGTACAAGTTCAGGTGACATTTCTACAAAAATCCTTTTATAAAGAGATCCATGTAATTTTGTTGAATGACACGTATATACCATGTGTATAGGTATTATATTCTTTTTTTTGTTCAATCCCACTTAATAAATTGGAAAATTTTAGCACAAGCCATGGGACATGATTTTGCAGCAAACTTAGAGATATGCACCCCAAAATTCTGGATTTACTTAGAGGGGAAGTTAGCGTTATTCCAATTTACTGGTGAAATTCAATAAGAAAAGGCTATAACGTCAATGCACATGATATGCATGTGTATGCTAAATTGACAAAATCGATTGTCTCTAACCAAAATTGGTAAAGGGAGTAAAATGCATGAGAAAAATTAACAAAATTACAAACTTTGCTTATTATTATTATTTTTACAAAATCATCCTTTTCAGTTAATTCAAGTCAATATTTTCAATAAGATATTTGTGCATGCCGAAGTCAAGCCAAGCCAAGCTAAGTCAATACCTGCAAGTCAGGTCAAGTAATTAAATAGTTTTGGTGCAAGTAGAAAGACAAATCACCATATTAAGTCTTCAGTCAATAATTGCGTGGGGAGAAAAATAACAAACATTGGGCCTAGGTACTATCTAATAAGAATTAAAACTTATTTATCAAGAATTTACTCCGATGCATTAAAAAAATAAATTAAAAAAAAAGTTGAGTTCCATTTAGCACACCCTCAAAACTTTTCTCCATTTTCCATATAAAAATAGAAGTGATTGAAATATATTGTTGTCTAGCATCACTTTCTCGTTTGTTTTTCTTTATTCTGGATGACACAAAACCTTATCCACATATCACACATTCATTCTTCCAATACAAATTTTCCACGAGTCCCCAACTCAATCAACTTCCCATTCAGACCCTACAAATTAGAAAAAGAAAAAGTGATTATCTGATTTGTATGCTCTTTAGCGTGCATACTTTTCATTGTGAAGGCCTTCCTTTTGTCTCTCTATATATATGGAGAAGCACGGAGACAACCATATACCAATATATATGGTTGTGCTCGATCTTCCACATTATATTATATTCCATTTTCATAAACCCTAAACAGTTGTGCCTATTCGACATATATTCCATTGGCATTTGAATCTATTAACATGCAGGGTCACGGAAGGTGCTTGAAACTCTTTCTTGCATTTGCGCTGCTTTTGCTACAGTACACCCAAGGAGGAGAGGTGGACCACAGTCAGAGGGATACTAAAGTGTCCATAAGGTGCATAGAGAGGGAAAGGCAAAAAAATTAGAGACTTGCAACTAAACATAATCAAATAGAAATTTTGTGCTCCCAACGACAAATATCATATAAATCATAATTCACCAAAATTTTATTCCCCTCCAACTCATTCGCTTTCTTTATTACTTTTCTTCATCTGGGTTACCACTTTTCTTTTTCAAAAGAAAATAAAAGGAAGAATGCTTTTATTATTATATATTTCATAAAACGACATGTAGTTCACTTCAGAATAAACTCTAAACAAGCATCTCTCCCTCCTCATCTCTGTCAATGTCTTCAAATGTTCTTCATCTGGGTTACTACTTTTTTACCTTATCATTCAAGCCGCTCAAAGAGAGCTTGACCTTTCGAGAAACCACAATTATGTAGTGGGAAATGGATTTTTATAACCCATTCAAACAAAATGAAAAGGCATGCATTCTACCCTTAGCTGGCATACATAATTCGTGATTGTAGTAGAAAATTTTACTGATCATAAGAAGTTAAGAACCATTATAATAATCAAGTTAATTTTAATTTTAATTCGAGAGAGAGTTTAATTTTAATTTTTTAGTTTTTTAATTGTTTTATCCATATTTTTATCAATTTAATAAAAAATACTATTTTGCCCTTGCATTTAACAGAAAAGTTTACAAAATTGACTGCAGGACCATTTGTCCTAATGAAACTGAAGTTGAAGAACCACTGGAACGATTTTAGAAATTGAGGAACTCAAATGCAAATCGGGTCTAGTTCAGGGACCAAATAAATAACATTATAAATTACTAAACTAATTAATTAACATTTTCGGAAAGCATAATCCAATTCTAGTAGCTGATCATATCATATCATCAATTCATACCAAATTTCAGAGATTTACAGTGGTTTGATTTTGATGACCTTTAGATTTCCTTTCAAGGAGAGAATTTGGAATAACTTATTTTTTTTTCTTCTTATTTTTGGTCCTGAAAAGCTCCATAAAAAACCCCAAATACATGGCTGAGAAACAAGACAGCCCAAAGTTGGAAGAACCAAGCAAAAACAAGCGAAGGCTCCAAGCCCACGAAACGAAAATCACACAAGACAAGAGTGACAAATTGCCAAAATTATAGGGCTTAAATTATACAAGTAATTGATCTGAATAATATTTGCCCGCGTGATACTCTCAAAGAAATGAACTTGCCAAGCAATTCCCATCAATAAGGGAGTTCTAGCAGGATGTCTGAGCACAAGTAGAGGGTGATGATGATCAATATCAATAGGATGGAGAAAACTGATGAGAGGTTTATTCATGAGGTCAACTGTATAGACCAAAGAATTCCTGTATCACTAAATTAAATGGCATCCCTTTCTTAGGTCATTTTCTTTGTTTTCTAGTCTATGTGCACTACTGCACATGGAAATGAAAGGGAAATTTCTTCTTCACTTTCCCTTTTTTTCCACAAGGAAGCAAAAAATGCAAGCAAAATAAGTCAATGATGAGTAAATTTATTAGTTTGTATCTAGGCAGCTACTTTCTAGCTTCCATCTATTCTTCCTTCTCTTATGGTACTTGAAGACAATTTCAATTAACCAAATAGCTTTTAAGTATGTTATTCTCAATTCGACCAAAAAAAAGGTATGTCATTCTCAAATTTTAGAAATAATGACTAATTTTGGTAGAATTTAAAGTTGAGATTTATGACCTCCAAATTCCATGTTTTTTCTTACATAGAATTTCTAGAGTTCTTTGATTTTTTAATCCAAACATGGGACTTGGTTTATGTCATCAATTTAGAAATTTTAATTTCGTGCAAAATCCCAAGTTTATCTCCCTCATCCAAACTCCGAACTTTATAGTTAGCACTAAGTATGCTATTGCTTCAAGAATCTCTTTAAAATAATAACTATAATATGAGAAACTTTCATGTGTAATCGTAAGGCCCCCACACTATGTAATGTAACATTAATATGTGGTTCTGTTTTGGTCTCCTGTTTGTGTGTGAATATTTGAAATACGTTACAAGGACAGGGAAGCATTTCAAAGGAAGGAATCCCATCTCAAGTTGAAAGGATGTGCCAACTCAATCAACTTCCAATGCAAAATTTCCACGAGTCTTCTAGTTCCCAACTCAATCAACTTCCTATTCAGACCCAAGAAATAAGAAAAAAGTGACCATTTGATTTGGAAACTCTTCAACATGCATCTTGCTTTCATTTATCAACTCAATGAATATGCTTTCATCTATCAAGGCAATCAATATAGTGTGATCCAAACTAATCAAGAATTCCAAAACTAATCAAGTAGTAGAGGCTACCCTATATTGCTATGACCAAGTTTTTCCTTTTGACCAATCAACAAGAAGACATCATACGGCACTTAAAAAGATATAGGCAGTCCGTAGCTCTTAAGAAAATCGAAATGATTAGATCTTTATCTAGATAATAACCAGATTGAAGGAGGAAACTTGAAATCTTTTGCTGGGCTATGTAGTTTGCAAGCATTGTGGCTTCAAAGCAATCATCTCAGTGGACAACTATCCAAGTTTGTTCAACTATTGCCTATGTGTGCTCAAAACTCATTAGAGTTTTTGGATATCTCCTGGAATGGCCTTGCGGGGTAATTAACTAATCTTACGAGCTTTTCATCTTTGAAATTCTTGTATCTTAATACCAATCGATTAGCAGAAGAATACTTGAAAGTCTTTGCTAAATGTCCCAACTGATACAAATCGATTTTGGCATGAACTCTCTGAAATGGGTGATTTCAAAAACCCACTTCTCAAAACTCTCCAAATTACAGTATCTGAATTTATCATCTAACTCATTAGTTTTAAACTTCATGGATTTTGATGACAAATTCAAATGGAAAGACTAAAATACCTTTAAAAATGAATGAAAAATTAGATTGTGTTAAAATCATATGACAAATTATGGATTTTGATTAACTAAGATGACATTTCTCTTAAATTTTTCTTTAAGGTGACATTGAAATTGAGGTATAAGTTCAAGTGACATTTCTGCCAAAATCCCTCTATAAAGAGATTCATGTTATTTTGTCAAAGGACATTTATGTACCACGTGTGTAGGTATTATATTATTTTTTGTATAATCTCACTTAATAAATTGGAAAACTTTTATTAGCAGTATGCCCACGAACTCCAATAGCACGAACAATACAAAGTTGCCACAAAACCTTGTCCACAACTTTTATTAAGAGCATCACTTTGTCGTTTGTTTTTCTTTATTCTGGATGACACAAAACCTTATCCACATATCACACATTCATTCTTCCAATACAAATTTTCCACGAGTCCCCAACTCAATCAACTTCCCATTCAGACCCTACAAATTAGAAAAAGAAAAAGTGATTATCTGATTTGTATGCTCTTTAGCGTGCATACTTTTCATTGTGAAGGCCTTCCTTTTGTCTCTCTATATATATGGAGAAGCACGGAGACAACCATATACCAATATATATGGTTGTGCTCGATCTTCCACATTATATTATATTCCATTTTCATAAACCCTAAACAGTTGTGCCTATTCGACATATATTCCATTGGCATTTGAATCTATTAACATGCAGGGTCACGGAAGGTGCTTGAAACTCTTTCTTGCATTTGCGCTGCTTTTGCTACAGTACACCCAAGGAGGAGAGGTGGACCACAGTCAAAGGGATACTAAAGTGTCCATAAGGTGCATAGAGAGGGAAAGGCAAGCACTCCTTGCATTCAAACGTGGCCTGGTGGATGAGGACAATAGCCTCTCTTCATGGGGTTTAGAAGCCCAGAAACAAGATTGTTGCAGATGGATAGGAGTCTATTGCAGCAACCAAACAGGTCATGTTATTGGACTTGATCTTTCATACAAAGTTATCGGCGAAGATTATTTTTTGCAAGGTAAGATGATTAGTCCTAAATTGATTGAGTTGCATCATTTACAACATTTGGATCTCTATGGGATTAAGTTCAGTGGGAGCGAAATTCCAGATTTCATTGGTTCTCTATCCAATTTAAGATACCTTGATCTGTCTTGGACTAATTTTGGAGGCAAGTTTCCAAGTCAGGTCGGAAATCTTTCGAACTTGCAGTATCTTGCGTTAAGTGATAATGACTTTACAAATATAGAAAATCTCGATTGGCTTCCTCTTCTTTCGTCATTAAGATATTTGGACTTGAGTTATGCGAATCTCAGCAATGTTTTCGATTGGCCGGAAGCCATTAATAAGCTTCCTGAACTAACTAACTTGACATTGCAGGGATGTGATCTTCCTCCTCCAACTCTTTCCACTCTTTCTTACATAAACTCTTCTAAGTCTCTTATCAGCGTTGACCTCCCTTTCAACCATTTGAATACTTCTTCAATATTTCTATGGTTGTCCAACTATAATACCAGCCTTGTTCATCTTGTCCTCTCTTATAACCCTCTAGCCGGTTCAATTCCTGACGTTTTAGGAGACATGAGCTCTCTGGCACATCTTGATCTCTCTTCTAACCAACTTGAAGGAGGAGACCCGCATTCTTTTGCCAGGTTATGTAGTTTGCAATCATTGGATCTCTCATACAACATTCTGAGTGGACAACTTTCTAAGTTTGTTCAAATATTATTCTCCACATGTGCTCAAAACTCATTGGAGATTTTGGATCTCAGTGGGAATGATCTTGCAGGGTCATTACCTGATCTTACAAACCTTTCATCTTTGGAATTATTGAGTCTTTATAACAATCAATTAACCGGAGGGATACCTGAAAATATAGGGCTAATGTCGAAGCTCAAAACTATTGATTTTAGCATGAATTCTTTGGAAGGAGTGATTTCAAAAACTCATTTCTCAAAACTCTCCAAATTACAGAGTTTGGATTTATCTTCTAACTCGCTAGTTTTAGACATCCATGCTGATTGGATTCCTCCTTTCCAATTGGACTTCATAAATTTGGGGTCTTGCAAGATGGGTCCGGCTTTCCCAAAGTGGCTTCAAACTCAAAAAAATTTCTCACACATTGATATATCTGATGCTGGAATTTCAGACATCCTTCCAAGTTGGTTTTGGAGTTTATGTCGTAATGTGACATTTATGAATCTCACAAGCAACCAAATTGGAGGTACATTTGCAAATTTGACATTGGAATTTTCATATTTCCCTGAACTACATCTGAGTTCGAACAAGTTGGAAGGTCCAATCCCCTCAGTTCTATCAAAAGCCTCATATCTGGATCTCTCTTATAATAAACTTTCAGGGTCAATTTCGTTCTTGTGTTCAAGAGCAACTATTGGTTTAAGCTTTCTTGACCTCTCAAACAACAATGTTTCTGGACAAGTTCCAGATTGCTTGACACATTTGGAGAATCTAGTCATGCTTGATTTGAGTTACAATGCTTTGTCCGGGAAAATTCCTACAACAATAGGCTCCGTATTTCGGATTGAAACACTCAAATTAAGAAGCAACAAATTTGTGGGACAATTGCCTTCGTCGTTGAAGAATTGCACAAGTTTAGTAGTCGTTGATGTTGTGGATAATAAATTATCCGGACCAATACCTAAATGGTTAGGGGTTAGCTTAAAGAATTTGGTTATCCTGATGCTTTCGTCTAATCACTTCAATGGAAGCTTGCCCTCACAAATATGCCATCTAACACACATTCAAAATTTGGATTTCTCCTTGAACATCATCTCTGGAAACATACCCAAATGCCTCACCAATTTAACTACTCTGGCTCAGAAAGGAAATCCAAGACTGAACATCTCACATTATTATGAAATTTCTACTGATCAACAAGGATTTACTGGAGATGACTATGAGGATGATGCAACATTCATATGGAAAGGAGGAATGAAGACATACAAAAGTACTTTGGGGCTCGTGAAGAGAATTGATCTGTCAAGCAATAAATTAACAGGGGAGATTCCAAGTGAAATCACTCATCTTGTTGGGTTGGTTTCTTTAAACCTATCGAGAAACCAATTAACAGGTCAAATAACTCCAGAGATCGGAAACTTGCAATCATTGGATTCTCTTGATTTGTCAAGAAACCATATAGACGGAAGAATTCCAAAAAGCCTTGCTCGGATAGATCGTCTTGGTTTCTTGGACTTGTCATATAACAACTTGTCAGGCAAAATTCCAGTCGGGACTCAGCTCCAAGGCTTTGATCCCTCTGTTTATGCTGGGAATCTTCAACTCTGTGGACCTCCACTTAAAAAGATGTGTGCTGATGAAAAGGAAAGAGGACCAAGTGAGCAAACTGACTTCATCAGCCAAGAGGACAAGGATGAGCTAATAACACTTGGATTCTACATAAGTATGGGGCTTGGATTTGCTGCTGGATTTTGGGGAGTTTGCGGGACCTTGATATTTTCAAGGTCATGGAGATATGCATACTTGAAGTTCTTGAATAGTTTAAATGATTGGCTTTTTGTGAGGATAGCTTTGTTGAAGCGGCAATTGAAGGATGCTTATTAATTACAAAAGATCAACGGTAAGTACTCTCTCTTTCTCTCTCTGATAGTTTATTATTACTTTATTGGCTTAATCAACATGGATGATTAATTTGGTTTTTCTAATTTGTTATATTCATGCTGCAGCTCAGTGAGCTAGGAGGAGGATGTGCGATAAGGTTTGGTCTTCCAGCCCCCCATCCTCTCTGGTCTTTGTGTTACAAGCTGAAGGCCTTCCTTGCCCCTCGAGGTGCTAGTGCGTCTGTGCTGGAGGCGGATGAGCTCCCCTTATGGAGGCGTCATAGTTACTGGCCTCTAGTTTGATCTTTTTCTAGTTTTTGTGCTTCCTGTTGTCGTTTTTCCTTTCCAACTGTCTTTGGGTTCTTTCTGTTTTATCCTCCTATTGTCTTTCTTTCGTTGAATGAAAGTACTTTGACCAAAAAAAGAAATCGGTCTTTTTTTTCTTTTTTCTTTTTGTTGTTGCATTTTATCTTTTTATCCAGCATCTTCAGAGACATGTCTTCACTTCAGTCAAGTGGGTCTGTAATGGTGTAGTTGTATTGTTGTAGTGGCAGGAAATGGATTTTTATAGCCGGATAGCATGAGAAATGCATGCCAACAATTAATAATAAAATCCACATATTGTCAGTCTGCACATAAGATGGATTTTTTTTTATATATTCTTTTTTTGGTTCAAACTCAAATCTCATCACGTATTTCATGCGGGAGCATACGGAGGAAAAAAGACAAGTTCCACTTTAAAAATTAATATAATATTGAGAGAGCTATAATTTATGGAGACAGTAAAACTATAATCCAATACTATTTTTTTTTAACTATAAATTGTGGATTAAATTTTAGGATTGTCAGCCGTTTTACCCCCTGAACTATGACACTTGTTGAAATTAACTCCCTGAATTAAAAAATCAGCCAATTTAGCCCTTGAAGAAAAATAGCCAATTTCAACCTTGTCGTTAGATTTTATCACATTTCTTCTACTTTTCTGTCTACCACTATATGGACCATAGTCTATTGTCTATTTTAACAGTGTGGGTCATTTTAAGGTACCATTAGTGAGATATGGCCATGGACTTACCTATCTTTCAATTTGCTAATGGCATGTGCTAATTTGTAAAGCTGCATTTTTATTTTGAAGCACCATTCAATTTACCTATCTTTCAATTAACTTCTTGATTAGCCATAATTCTGCAATTTTAATTACTTTTTTGTCAACCATGGTACAGGGGAAATATTAGTAAGATGAAAATATTATTGCTCTATAACGTGGTATTTTCTCACTGTAATTTCAACTAAAATGAATTTAGTTAGCATCATTTGCTCAGAATAGTGTATATATATAATTAATTACCTTTACGTGAGGAAAGAAGAACAAAAATCGTCCTAATCCCAAATCTTTTAGGTAAGCAGAATCCAATTCTAGTAGCTGAGCACAAGCTCGCTTAAGACAGACAGACAATCGAATCTCAGTGCAAAAGTGCAAAGCAAATAACATTATAGATTACTAAACTAATTAATTAACATTTTAGGTAAGCATAATCCAATTCGATAGTAGCTGATCATATCATATCATCAATTCATACCAAATTTCAGAGATTTACAGTGGTTTGATTTTGATGACCTTCAGATATCCTATCAAGGAGAGAATTATTTGGAGTAACTTTCATGAAGAAATCATATTGATTTGAGCTTTCGAGATTCATTTGATGGACTCCTCCTTATGGTTTTGTCTTGTATGAACATGCTGCTCTGTTTTAGCTTTTAAATCATAACATTTGCAGAAAGCAATTAAATTTGTTTCTTTTCTGTTCTCCACCATCTCATTCTCATAGTTTTGCAAATCCTGTCAAACTATCTTAAACATTTTCTTATCAAAGTAATAAAATATTTTTATATCCATGTATACATTATAATCAGACAGAGATGTGCGAACTAAAGCCTAAATATTTTTAGTCCCCAACTGAATCAACTTCCTATTCAGACCCAATAATTAAGAAAAAAGAAAAAGTGATTATTTGATTTGGATACTCTTCAGCATGTATCTTGCTTTCATCTATATATCAAGTCAATCAATATAGTGTGATCCAAACTAATTGAGAATTCCAAAATTTATTCAACTAATTGAGTCAAGTCAATATCCACCCACTCAATTGCGTCGTGGAAATTAGTGTCTAACTTTTAATTTCTAGTAGGGGCAGAAAATTCGTGGTCTTTTTTATGTCATGTATGTTTTGTATAAATATATAGCTCTGTTTTTATATCAGACCAAGTTTTTCCTTTTGACCAATCAACAAGAAGACAGCATACGGCACTTAAAAAGATATAGGCATTCCGTAGCTCCTAAGAAAATCGAAATGGTTAGATCTTTATCTAGATAATAACCAGATTGAAGGAGGACACCTGAAATCTTTTGCTGGGCTATGTCCTTTGCAATCATTGTGGCTTCAAAGTAATCATCTGAGTGGACAACTATCCAAGTTTGTTCAACTATTGCCTATGTGTGCTCAAAACTCATTAGAGTTTTTGGATCTCTCCTGGAATGGCCTTGCGGGGTCATTAACTAATCTTGCGAGCTTTTCATCTTTGAAATTCTTGTATCTTAATACCAATCGATTAAGCAGAAGAATACTTGAAAGTCTTGGCCAAATCGATTTTGGCATGAACTCTCTGAAAGGGGTGATTTAAAAAACCCACTTCTCAAAACTCTCCAAATTACAGTATCTGAATTTATCATCTAACTCATTACTTTTAAACTTCATGGATTTTGATGACAAATTCAAATGGAAAGACTAAAATACCTTTAAAAATGAATGAAAAATTAGATAGTGTTAAAGTCATATGACAAATCATGGATTTTGATTAACTAAGATGACATTTCTCTTAAATTTTTCTTTAAGGTGACAAATTGAAACTGAGGTATAAGTTCAAGTGACATTCTACCAAAATCCCTCTATAAAGAAATTCATGTAATTTTGTCGAAGGACATTTATGTACCACGTGTGTAGGTATTATATTCTTTGTTGTATAATCTCACTTAATAAATTGGAAAAATTTTATTAGCAGTATGGCCACGAACTCCAGTAGCACGGACAATACAAAGTTGCCACAAAACCTTGTCCACAAAACTTTTATTAAGATTATCGCTTTGTCGTTTGTTTTTCTTTATTCTGGATGACACAAAACCTTGTCCACATATCACACATTCATTCTTCCAAATATAAATTTTCCGCGAGTTTTCTTATCCATTAGTCCTCAACTCAATCAACTTCCCATTCAGACCCTACAAATTAGAAAAAGAAAAAGTGATTATCTGATTTGTATGCTCTTCAGAAATTTATAATAAAACTCATTCCTTGCCTTTTATATATAAAACCTATACATTGAAGAAAAAAGAAACAAACTAGTTGTACTATATTTTTTATTTATTTTGAATGATGTGTGAAATACCATTATTATCCTTGCATTATAATTTAGAAAAAAAAAAAAAAAAAAAAAAAATGATGGCAGTATTGTAATTTTTAGGTTTTTTTTAAGACTTGTATGGTATATTTGGTCCCTCCTTACTTTGAAAAAAAAAAAGTGAAATGAGTTTTCCTAAGATTTGAGTATCGTAGGTGTTTATTTAATATTTGTTTTATATTTAGGACCCTATTTATGAGCTTACTTACATATGAAAAGTCCTTGTTTTTATCTATCAAGTCAATCGAATATCTACAAAGTGTGATCCAAACTAATTGAGAATTTCAAAATTTATCCAGTCACTTAAGTCAAGTCAATATCTAGCCACTTAATTGCATTGTGGAAATTAGTATCTAGCAATGGCAGATGATTCGTACTCTTTCTCTTGTCTGGTATTGTACAAAAATATGGCTCTATTTTGGTTTTCTGTCTATTTGTGCAAATATCTTAAACACGTTACAAGAATGATGGAGAAGCATTTGAAAGGAAAGAATCTCATCTCAAGTTGAAAGGCAAAAACTTCTCATCCTCATCCTCTGCCTAGTCCCCATCAAGGATTATCCATCCACACAAACATTGAGGACCATATTCCCCATTGGGAATCTGTTTCCATCCGAATTCATAAAGAGTTGGCTAAAAGTCACAAATAATCCATGTAATTTTGCCTTGATTACTAGGGAGACTATCTTTATAGACCAACTTGTGCACAATCTCTCTAATAAAAGTGGAGTTGGATACAAAATGAAGGACACTTTGACTTCCTTGCTCCGAAACTTTAGCGATCAAATTCAGCATTAAATATATTCCTTCCTACTTAAGAATTTTGTGATCATCACTATAAATTATAATATGAGAAATTTTATGAATAATTGTAACACTACATGTAATATTAATTTATCTTAGTTTTAATATGTGATTGGTGGAAGATTTATGCTTTACTATATAAGTATCAATAAATATATAGACATATGTTTCAGTTAAGTCAAGGTCCATATTTGCAAGAAGATAATTGTAGCTTGTGCCCCGCCTTAGATGGGAGGCAAATTTAAAAGGTTGAGTGGACACAAAAATGCACCGTTACCAACTTACCATGTCAAGTCAAGTAAAGCCCAGTCAATAACTGCAAGACAATAGTGAGAAAGAGTCTGTGTGCGTTGGAAGGCAAATCACCATCTCAATTCTCAAGTCTAGTCTAGATTAATAGTTGCGTGGGAAGAAAATTAGGAGGAAACTTGTTTGTGTGGATGGTCCTACTAAGTAAGCATTGATATTTTGTCGGTAGACATACCTTTCACAAAGGCTGGTCCAATTAATTTATTAGTAGCAGGCTGCCAAAATACACGAAAACTCATGGGTCTGTGGACAGCGTCCACGCTGATGAAAGAGTCATACGCCTTCTGTCCACAGCTTCTCAAGGAGACATGATATTTTGGCATATACATTATTTTCTACCCTAAACCCTTGCTATGACCAAGTTTTTCCTTTTGACCAATCAATAAGAAGACAGCATACGGCACTTAAAAAGATATAGGCAGTCCGTAGCTCTTAAGAAAATCGAAATGGTTAGATCTTTATCTAGATAATAACCAGATTGAAGGAGGAAACTTGAAATCTTTTGCTGGGCTATGTAGTTTGCAATCATTGTGGCTTCAAAGCAATCATCTCAGTGGACAACTACGGCTCGCCTTAAGAGGGAAAGTTAGCGTTATTCCAACTGATTGGTGAAATTCAATAAGAAAAGGCTATAACGTTAATGCACATGATATGCATGTGGATGCTAAATTACACAAATTGACAAAATTGATTGTCTCTAACCAAAATTGGTAAAGGGAGTAAAATTAACAAAA